TGCTTTGCTTTGCTTTCCTTCACTGAGTCCTCCTTTCTTCCTCCCAGGGAAAAATATCCCTTTGCAACTCAGTGCCTCCTTTTCTTGGACCCTGAAGGTCAAACAAGCTCATAGCCAAAAATGGGCTGAGTTTGTTCCCCGCTTGTGGTTTAGGAAAGGCTCCTGCTTGCCTCCCTCGCCTGCGTTTCTCTCTCAAAGAGCTAGGAAAGTCCTCTCCGAATGCTGTCAGACTGCAGGTCCCAGCATTGCTCGATACAGGGTTGCTGGGAGTTGTAGTGCAACTGCAACATTTGGAGGCTTAAACAATTCTGACCATGGACCTAAAATGTAGCAGAGTTGTTCTGTCTTTGGTCCTGTAGATGCTGTTTGATTGCAGCTCCTATCATTCCCCACCATCACTGTCATACCTGACAGTCCATGCCACACACCTTAAATCCAGGATTTGGGGGATCTGCAGCTGTGGCCCTCTAAATACTGTTGGGCTACAGCTTCCTTGCTTCCTCGCCTTTGGTTATGTTGGCTAGAGGCAGCATAGTAAATGATCCCTAATGGTTTGGCTCTCTGCTGAGATTTCCAGGGGGAATAGGATGCACTGGAAAATGAGAGGCCTTTAAGTCAGAGGACCTGCTCCCCAAGCACAAAACCCTGGGTTCGTTCCCTTGCAACACCAATTTTTAAGGCTTCAAAGCAAGGCCTGGCTAATGCTAGCTGGACATATAGGGTGTTTTGCTAGACAAACCTAACATCTGACGTGACGGATGCAACAGCAATGCAGAAGCTCTCAGACTTACCTGGCACGTAAAGAAGCACATGGGAGCCTGGGGATGGTGTCTTAATCCCAGGGGACCAAAGGAGTCTTTTCAGCCCACCTAGGCCCCCAATGGCACCCCCACAAGCACACCTACCCGTGTGTATCCTCCGGTGTGCTTTCAAGTGTGAGCTCTTTGTGTAAACTTTGTTGCAGCCATCGAAGTCGCACTGGTGGATCCGACGCTTCTTGAGGTCTGGGGAGTCTGTCCACTGCATTCGACCGGCCGAAGGCCTGGCAAAGAGAAAACAGGGGTCACAACCATGCCACAAAGGCCTTGACCACTTCTTTTTCCTGGTGCCGCTTCCTCACACCTTCCATGCAGCCGCAAAAAGGGTGCCACACACCAAGCATTTGCAAACTCCATGAGGAAAGGTCAGAAACCAGAGTCCTGCAAGGCTCAGGTGAGGTTTTGAGTGTGAATCCCTGGCTTCCACCACTCTCCCAAATGCATGATCTCAGTTGCAGACACCGAAGTGTAAGGAAGAGAGGGCAGAACCCAAATCAATGGATTGAAATTGCAAGACTAAACGTTACGCTATGGAGTTTGAACCCAAATCAATGATCTGAAATTGCAAGAAAGTAGATTCCCTATAAACTTTATGGAGTCTGAACCCAAATCAATGGACTGAAGTTGCAAGAAAGAAGATTCCCACTGAACTTTTATGGAGTCTGAACCCAAATCAATGATCTGAAATTGCAAGAAAAAAGATTCCCTATAAACTTTACGGAGTTTGAACCCAAATCAATGGACTGAAGTTGCAAGAAAGGAGATTCCCACTAAAGTTCTTCTTCTTCTGTTAGGACTTTTTAAAAGCAGGTTGGATGGTACTTTAATGGTGGATTCCTGCATGAAGGGGAGGAGGTTAAGATGAGATGACCCCTGGGTTCCCTTACAACTGGATCATGCTGCAAAAATGGCTATGTGTGCAACAGTGTACACATTGCGCCTGATATATTTTGGAATGGCAAAGGGAAGAGGACACTTCTGAAGTCTGAGTCCTCCCTCCTCCCTGATCATGAGAGCTAGAAGCATGAGAGCTGCCTTCCTCCTGAAAGAGAAGCCAGTTTGGGCATCGCCAAATCCAGTGGTGGGTCCCCCCAGATCCCTTGTGATCCAGGCCCAGACTCACTCTCTCTGGAGGTC